GAAACGTCACAACAGGAACACAAAACATTTCCTAATCATGTGTTTCCGAGATGTGGTCTATTAAGTGTTCTACAGAGTGAAACGTCACAACAGGAACACAAAACATTTCCTAATCATGTGTTTCCGAGATGTGGTCTATTAAGTGTTCTACAGAGTGAAACGTCACAACAGGAACACAAAACATTTCCTAATCATGTGTTTCCGGGATGTGGTTTATTAAGTGTTCTACAGAGTGAAACGTCACAACAGGAACACAAAACATTTCCTAATCATGTGTTTCCGGGATGTGGTTTATTAAGTGTTCTACAGAACTAGGCTTTAGTTTTTATCACAGTGTAATATTAATACTTACAACTCCAGAATCACTGTCAGATGCTTCCTCTAATTTCTTCAGCTTCTTTGTTAGCGTCGAACAGAAAATTGTAGGCCGAACCTGTTTCTGATTCAGGCAAGATGCTATAAGAGAATCCTTCATCATCCTGGCCTTTATTACACCTTCAAAAAACAAAACAATAACCGTTCTCATCATCATGGGTTACATAAAAACTGCTTGTGACCACATAGTTTGTAACAATATAAAGTATCCACTAGCTACACTACAAATGAAACGTATACTGTAATTAATAACGTTGTATAGTTAGTTAGCTGAAGAAAACGTGAGCTTAATGTAGGTGAGACTTCGCAGTTTTTGAGAGGCAGAATAAATGGTTACAGGCCCTCTAAAAAATACTCAAGTTTCCCCTATTAATCCTTTAACTCACAAGGGCAGATTTTTAAAGATTTTCGTATACAGCCACGCGAAAATGTAAATTCTTTACCCGCTACATCAATATGAAAAAAGGATATTGGATGAAAACACAACGTTATTAGGCTTAACGACAGAGTCAAAAATGAACGTAGTGTTTCTCAAGGCTGTCAATGTTTTCAAACAATCCGTGTTTTTCTGAATCGCTTTCACGTCGTCAAACAGCGCTAAAGCATAGGATACTGTTACGTCTCCGTTTGTTA